GAAACGTTGTGTTCTCTTTCTTCTTTTTTTCAGCATGGAATAAACCTATTACTTGTTCCTTTGCAGCCTACGCATGCTGACGCAGCTACCCACCTGACAATACACTGTGTTGTGCCAGACTCCATCTTTTCCTCTGTGCTGCCAGCTCAAGGTGATACTGCAGCCTGTGCAGCTAATAGGAAAGAGCAGTAAATGACGGGCTGATTAAATATTTATAGTACATGCATTGTTAAAAACACCACTGAGGTACTGTATAAGGCCAACATTTAGAAAAAAAGAAGCTCTGATAAATATTCTGAGGTACTTTGCTGAGCTTCAGTGGATTCACTGCTTTGTAATTAGTGTAAAACCAATATAAAGTCTTTGCCTTTCATGTCACAGGTTGGAATTTGTAAGAATTTCAAGTCCAGAGGTAATCTAGTGTACAAAGATTTTTGTACGTTACAACAAAATCACAAGCCTTGTCCGCAGAAATAATTGCAGATTTGTAGGGATGTAACAACCAAGTATGTGTTAAAATAGGTGGAACATGGGGAAAAAAAGTCAGAGAAGCAAAGAAGAAAAGCACTGAATGCTGCCTGTGAAACAAGTTAAAACTCAGGGGCACATCCCTGAGTTTGTTCATCATTAATTCCTTGTGTTAATGCACAAAATTGAATCTAGATAACTTGAACATTGAAATAAACCTTCCTTGGAAGGTTTTCATGAAACCCCTTTATTTGTATACATTTAAAAGCAAATTAGCTGGTGCCATGTCTATAACCAATAGTGTCCGAGGTCTGCTCACTGTAAATTAGATCATTGTTGACTATCTCGGGTAGGAGGATGATTGTCTTCCATGATCCCGAAGGTGACTGATAAGACCAGTATAGGATCTGCACACAGATTAGACAGAAACATGCAAGCAAGTATGGGGTTGTTTACTACATCTGAGATGTCTTGTGGGCCAGTTTTTTTTAAATCAGTTCACCACTTAAATGAGTTATATTGTCCTTGCTTTCCCTCAAGCAGACATTCATCATCTTTAGAAAACCACCCCATGATTCATCAATGTTTCTCACAAGGGTAAAGGACTGGGAGGGCAGTTCAGTGTTTGCACTAAGTGCTGTGGTATCCAGTGGTGATCTCTTCGCACCTGCTGTCTTACTGTATGACTGTAGCCAAATTAACCTTTTTAGGTTTATTTGTATGATGGACCTTCTTACAGTAGGTTCATTTGTATGATGTAGGCAGTAATACTGTGTTTCGCGGAAAGAAACATGTTCTTGGTTTGTGTTTGTGTGTGGAGGAGGGGATGAGATGTATAATAATGTACATTTTTCTTTATCCTGTAGCTTTCTGCAGATATGATCTCTTCTGAATTGATGAACCATGAAAAAAGACACTAAGAAGTTAAGAAAACCACCAATTAATCCATATTTGAATGCAGATTGCACAGGCTTACAAGAACATAAGAGTTAAGATGCTGTCCACAGGGATGAGTGGAATATCAATGTTACTCTGTAGAGATGGTGATAAATAACTCACCAAGAATTCTGCAATTTGGTTCTTTTTTTTTCCAGCTGGAAGTGAACACCACCTCCTGGGAAATAATATAACTGTGGCTGTGCTTGGGATTGTCATTCCTATAGGTAGGTACATTGATACAACTGTATTGGTGGCTAGTGGGTGAATCATAACAATTTGCTTGTACGTTTAGATTTAATGCAGGTCTTCTCTGTATCTCTGCCACCCTTGTGGTATATCCACAAAGAACTATATTGTGCCGTTTCTCACAATGAGATTTTGAAGGTGATGTATTGGCCTGAAGTGGTAACCTGTTTTTTTCACAGAAAAATAACTTTTTCACTGGAACACAAACAGTTCTCTAAGAATTAATGTAACTTATAAACAGATATCCAGGTTGAGCACCTGTAACTGGTGTGATCTTCCAGTTTTCCCACTCCTTATCAGCCCTATTGCTTGAGAATCAGTAAGTGACTTCATAAATAGTTTTGAACTTCATTTGGTGTTGCGTATCTTTTGGTTGATTTTGGGTGTTGGATCTCCAGAACCTGTTGTATATGATTAAAAAAAAGATATGGTGGCTTCTGTGTATATAAAAGGGCAATGAAGATTTTAGAACATAATATGCATGCCTTCATCCACCTGGCAATGTACGTGTAATTAAGTAGGAGCCCCGAGGAATTCTGAACTGCAGTAGATATTTTAAATTAAGAACTAGTTATCAATCTAGTTCTGTGACTGGAAGTGTATAGCCATTCCTTGATTATGGGTTCCTCTTGAATGTCAGTGTAATAGCCATAAATCCCATAACCTCAGTCTTACCCTTATTTGCATGGAGAGCCACTTAGAATGTGTTATTAATAGCACAAGGCAAAGTGCACCGAAGCTGCCTTTTCTCTGTCATTAACTGCATTATACAGAATGTGAACTTTAGTCTTTAACCCGGCACATGTTACTGTATGTTAAATGCATGCAGTTCCTATCATTGCTACAGTGTTCATCGGGCTGCTGTGCACGGGCGGCTACCTCATCTGGAGAAACTGGAGGAGGAAGAACACCAAGAGCATGAACTTCGACAACCCCGTGTACAGGAAGACCACGGAGGAGGAGGATGACGAGATCCACATCGGGAAGACGGAGCAGATCGGGCATGTCTACCCCGCTGTGAGTGGCACCATCCGGCCGCCTTTCACCGCCCTTCCGCTCGGAGGAGTGCCAGACTCCGGGACTCATTGGTATTCGGGGCAGGGAGTTCTTTCCACCGCTTAGTCAGACAAAAGCACTGAGGCCTCTGACTCCCGGGGAGAAAGGGACAGGCACACAGGCGTGACAGGCGAACTGCAGTCTCTCCAATCCTAGCCCGGCTCCGCCACGAAGGCTGAATTAATTCCGATTTTTTGTGGGGGGGATATTGAATAGTTTGACCTTTATGAATTCCACTTTTTTTACCTTTGTAAAATCATGGCGGCCTGATGATGAGAGAAGGCTCAGTGGGAATTGGAGTAGCTTTCAGGATAGAACTATGCGGTTTCATTGATTTTTTACATAGAAGGACAACCAGCCATTCTTATGCCCTTTTCAATTCTCTTTGAAGTGTGAATGAAGGCAGTTTCCTATTGAAAACTTTTTAAGAGGAACCAGAAAGCACCTTAGATGATCGGACAATCTAATTTTAACTGACTTTTTTAAGCTTACTGTACAATTTTCAGTATTTCGCACGTTTTCTTATTTATAAATGAATTTCGTTTGTGAGGGAGAGAGTAAAATTGAGAAGGAAAGCCAACAGGAAAAGGGGGATGGATCTTGTATGAAATTCTAAATCCTGCCATGTCCTGTTAATCCAGCTGCTGTGCAGAAAATTGGATAGAGGATGTAGAGAGAGGGAGATTAAAGTTCTGTCACTACCACAGGTGACAGGCTCACCCTGGAATCATAATTCCAGACCCGAGTCTCGGCTTTATCCGGTGGACTGAAAGGCGAGGTGTGCAGGTATTCTGCATGTGGGCAACTGTTCTCTTCAAAACTACCAGGCTGCGCTCTTGCAACTACCAGAGAAGGAAAAGACTAACGGTTCCTAGGTTGGACTAAAAAAAAAATGTGGATTTGATTTGTAAGCAAGACAGCCCCTCCTATTCGTTTATAGTGTGTAGATATCCCCGTATCATTTCCAAAGCCAAATAAGACCCTTGAAGGCTAAATTAATTTGCAGCTGTCATGTGATTTATTGCATTCTAAATTCTTACTTTGTCAATATTCTCAATTGGAAGACTAGAGTAGCGTTGTCTGTGTTTAAATTTCTAGCTGCTTCTTTTTCCTTTTGTTTTCTGGCCTCTGTGTTAACACACTTTTATCTGGTCTCTGCAGCGCGTGGCGCTAAGTCTGGAAGATGATGGATTACCATGAGGAGAATGTTCTGTGCCCGACCCTGTCCTTTATCCACAGTGACCACAGTCTCCTGGGGAGACTAGAGCCTGCAGCATTGAGGTGCTGAGAAAGAGAGAGAGGGGGGAAGCTGAATCAGTCTTAAAACAGCCAAGGGGTGTGTGGTTTTGTTTTTCCTTATGCTTTTGTTTCTCTTCTTTTCCTTCAAAATATATACATGTCAACCCATCTGTTTCTAAACAAGTTTTAACTTGTGCTACTAGCCATGCACAGTAGTAAGGAAACCTGTTTAATGATGACTAACCTCATTGTTCATCATCGACGCACATGTATATCAAAGCTGGATTCCCAGCATTTTGTACGGAATCTTATTTTAATTTTTGGATTTTTAATTTTAATTTTATTTAAAGTTTTATTTATTTATTTTTGTCCCCGGTACTGTAAATAGATTAAGGCTTTTAGGGCACTGATACTTCCAGAGGGTGGGCTGCAGGAGACCAATGGTCATAGAGGAAGTGACCTGAGTTCAGAAAGATTAAGTGCCAGAGGGCACAGTTACAAGGTGGCAGCAGAGGAAAGCTCTGGGGATGGGATTATCTGTTTTGTTGGCATCGGTGGTACACAATACTTAGAAATGGATAGCCGCCTGACTTTTTGAGAGGGCTTGGAGCCAGGCGCTTCTGTGCCTAGTGAGCGATCTACACTGCTGTGTATGAAAAATGCAATGCAGTAGCCAGGCTAACTGGGAAATGTGACCTTACGAAATGCGGATTTTGGTCAGTGGTTTCGTAGCCAATGGTATAGAGCAGAAATAACGAAGCTGTTACTTTTATGTATGCTTTTGTGGTCTCAGTGCTGCTTTCCTGTGCAAGTTTGACTCTGCTATATAACTGGAAAATCATTGCTATTCTTAGGAAGTTCGGTTTCTACTTTCCTCAGTTGCGGTTATTTCCGAGCTATATTCCTTTAGATCAGGTTGCTTAACTAGTTCCAAGGAAGAGACTGCAGTTATATTTAAAAGTATAAAACAAGGAGCAAGAATCTTTTTTGCCCCAAGCATGGAGGCCAGTTAACGGTGTACTAAGGTCATGAGTGATACTAGAGAAGTATCAGACTGTCCGCTAGAGGGAGCTAAAGCCTTGCTTAGACCAAGATCTTTTTTGCAGTGAAGAGCTGAATCTTCAGTGATTCAGGAAACCCATTTTGACTGCAAATGATGTAGGGAAACGTAATATAACGTGTGATTTGGATTTGGCCTTGTCACCAGGTTGAACGCCTCTACCCTAAGGAAAAGCCCCATGGGAATGTTTATTGTCCACAGTGTGGACAGACCCTCAGTTGAAGGTTTCCCCCCAAAGACAATATGTCACTGGGGCTTTGGCAGAGGAAAGCATGCTGTCTGTTCAAATCGGGCTTCACTTCATCACAGCTTTTGGTGACCATGTCGAATGAGTAGCCCTGCAGAATCACTGCATCTGTGGAATGTGGGCATGATATAAAAATCTGCAGCTCTCGTTTTCATTTTACCTCTCTGATCCATAAGTCCTTTACAATTTGCCAGCTTTGTTGGAGTTAAAGTATGTAAATAATAGCCTACAAGCTTCTCTGCTCCTGTTTTCTTGACAAAGCAGTGACTCCCCTCAGGAAGGGGATCTAGATCTTCATATTTCTAGTTGTGTAGTTTTGTTACAAAAGGGAAGAATATTTATTTTTATGCTTGTACAGTTGCATCTTTCTAATCTTCTAAGCCTATATTTCTACATATGTGTTTAGATCTTTTTTTTGCTACTGACAAAAGTAAGGTACTTAGGGGATAATTTTCTTAATATATATATTTGAACCCTAACATGCAGAGAGTTCTACAGTCAACAAAGAAACCCTAGAGCTAATAGGCAAGTTCAAGTGATGGCACTTTGTTTCTAAAAGCGGACTAAAAAGGAACATTATTCCATTTTGATTGGAAAGTCTGTTTTATGGTCCAAATTAGCTTTTTGTGTTTGTTTTATTCTGTTGCCTGCAGCTAACTGTTAAGCAGATTGATGTTTTTGTGTTATTCTTTTCCACTTATATCAATTGAATATATATGCTGTGATTGTCAAGCTCCCTTTGGGTTTTCATCATTAGCATAACAACTAATAGGCAGCACGTTGTGGGGTTGAGGTTGTGGCTCAAAATGCATTAATGGTTTATATTGCAATTAACTGCACTAATCGATCGATGCATTCCTGGTTGAAAGCAAAGCGTCTTCTCTGTAGTGGAGGCTCCATACCTGGCAGGTTAGAGTCTGTGTCTGTGAAACAATTTGTGGCGTGTAAATGATCAGGAAAATGAATGAAATATCGTTCCTCTCCTTAGAACTATCGAGCACTTGTGCAAGTGGGAATGTGCATCAGTTTTTCTTTTCAGAAGAGATAGTGACACGCTGAGGAATAAAGACAACTTGCAATTATTTTGCAGCCCCTTTTACTAAGCTTAATGATCCAGATTTGTATTGAAGCTCCTACTCTGCTACATTAAAAGCAACTGTATTAAATGACAGAAAAGGTATGCTGTTGTTTTCTATCCACTTCAAGAAGAAGCTGCCTTGCTATTCTGTGCAATTTATCAACTGCAAGTCTTGTAGTGGCCCAGGACACATCTGTGCCCTGAATGTATTCTTGGCTTTGGTGTGGGATTTGTTAGAGTCGAGCTGAATTAATGAGATCTCTTGGCATTGCATGTTATGTGACTCATTGCTCCACAGAGGCATAAATATGTATACAGTATACAGTATTTATGATGTTAAATGTGTGGAATTTAACTTATACAGTAGAGTTGCCTCCAAATCACTTTGCATGCCAGAAAAGCAACAGTCACTTCTTTTATAGGGAGTAGGTATTAGACCTTGTGATCATATTGTTGTGTTACTGGTGCACGAGGACTTGTCTTACTTGGTTTCCCTGGCACAAATTCTCTGTAGCAGCTACCTTAAGAAAAAAGATGCTTCAGTCTCTTTGTGTGCTGTCACTGGAATGGGAATGTTAGGAACATTCAGCACGTATTAAGAACATAAGAAAGGTTACAAACAAGAGCAGGCCATTTGGGCCGTCAAGCTCATTTGGAAGGTAGTAACTAATGGAGTCATGATTTCATCCAGCTGTTTCTTGAAAGAAACCAGGGTGTCGGCTTCAAAAACATGGCTTGTTAGCTTATTCCACATTTCCACGACATGTCAGTGTGCTAGTACTGTAGCTGTCATCTGAACCTACTGGAAGGCTAAAGTTCTTTGTGGTTAAAAACAACAAAAAAGCAATTAAATGCTTATTTTTGTCTCAGACCTGGGAACTTTAAGCATGATAGAGATAGAAATGCATGGATTTACTTTTGAATTTTATAAATTCTTGAACCATAGAATTATGGGTTCAAATGAACAGGTTATCTACCTAAACTTGGTCATCACTTTATTTCTGTCTAGTCTCTGTGCATGTATCTGTGTACAGTTATATACATATATATATAAACTGTTGGTGACAAGGGTGGCATAGTGGATAGTGTTACTTCCTCAGAGCTACAATTTCCTGAGTTTGATTCCAGGCTTAGGGTATCTTTCTGTGTGAGTTTGCATGTCCTTCTTGGGTTTGTGTGGGTGTTTTCCTGATACTCTGCTTTCCTTATCTGGTCTTCAAAAAGAAGGAAGTCAAGCACCGCATCTTTTTACTCTGACCAGTGAGTGACACCTCTCCGCCCTGTACCTAGAACAGGACATAGTTTAATACTATATATTAATGGCAAATCACTAAGCTTAGTGATTGCTACTTTTTTCCTTTACATTTGTGAGTTGCCTGCACTAATAATGATCAGCTGGTCTGTATACGCCTGTGTTGTGCTCATTCCTAAATGTTAGTACCCAAACCAACCTCAAAACAGCCTAGCCTGATGAGCTTTCTTTCTCCATACTAATTCTATGCATTCTGAATGGCTGAGTTTCAGTGGGATTTTAATCATGATCTATCATTCTTTCTGTGTTTCATAATGGTTCCATTAGCACCGCTACTAACCTTTTTTTTTTTAAAGGGCTATCCTTAATTAAAAAAATAAAAACTTGAAGGACACATTGACAACCACTTCTTTACTGTAGAGGCTAGAGGATACGAACCCTTTTAATCAGCAGGTTCTTCCAAGTATTTGAGCTTATCCTTCCAGATCTCTTGCCAATTCTCTTCCTCAAAAAGAGTGGAGAAGGCGACGAGGAGGGACTTCTCTGATGGCAAGTTTCCATGTCTCAAAACGACACTAGACCGGTTTGTTTTTCAACGCTTTCCTCTGTGTTCTGTGAATATGACATTCATTTCCCTTGAGAAATATCTTCTTGTTCATATTTACTGTACTTGATGTGTATTACTTGAAAAATAATGTTCAGGTTCCTCTTTTGTACCTGTTTGTGTAGGCTGGGGTTAGGGGATGGGAGAAACTCAAAGTTTTCTGGATTCTGTTCATTCCTCAGCTGTATTGAAAGAATTTTGTACTCTAGTTTGTTGCACAAACCTCAGAAATGCCTTCTGCACTGTGTAAGTGGTTCTTTGTGGGAAGGGGAAATGGTAGAAATGATTTTAAATCACAATTTGTAAATATGTTTTCAGATTGCAGATTTTTGATAGAAGTTTTAAACATTTCTGTTAAACTGTGTATATATAAAAAAAAAACTTCCGAACGAGTGTAGACCATATCTGAATTTATCTGTACACAGCAGCACTGGCTTTCTTTACTACTTGATTGTAACACAAATTAATAATCAGCCAAAGTGTTTTTTTATTCTGTTTTGTTTTATTTTTTTTCTAACAGATCTTGCTAAAGGTGAAGTTGTTGTACTGCATTATGTTCTGTTATTGTTGATAATTTACTTATGTGTTAAAAGAGAGGTTTTCTTTTAATTTTAATTTATTTGGTGCCTTGTGTGTCTTCTTGTATATTTTACTACTTGTCTTTTTTTTGGGGGGGAGGGTATGTGTGTGGGTTAGGGGGGAACAGGGAATACTGTAGTGATTTTACTTAGTAACTGCTGTACTTACAATGAATATCTACTGTATGCCAAAATGGTCTCACTCACGTTTCTATGAAATCAGACTGTTCATAAATATCTATATATATTGATATATTAAATTTATAAAAATGAGAGATGTCTTTATCCTTATTATTTGGTCAAGATTCAATTTCTAATCTTGAACTGTGGGTGGAAAAAGTCTTAGAAAGGTAGGTTCCTATCAAGTTTATTTTTCAATCCTACTTTATTCCTGTTCTCTGTATTTTCTTTATCTCTTCTCAGTGATTCTGTCATATTCTGCTTCTGCTGCTAATGTACACTAAGCATCAAATGAAGCAGAATTTAAAACAGGCTATAGAAAATGCCTGTCAGCATCATTTTACTCTTTGCTCTGTATTCATCGACCATGTAGGCATCAGACCCGAGGTATAAGCACGTTTTAACATACCTCATGTCTTGTTCATATTTATCATTATGATTAAGTGGAGCCATCTGGAATGGTGTATTTATGGATTTGAGGAAAAGTTTAAATGTGAGTGTGGAGGTTAGAGGACCATCGCAGTGCTCAAATGGCCGTTTGTTAAACAACTACCCATACATTTACAAATTGCTCAAACTATTATCATACTACAACATTTACAGTACAGTATGTATTTAGCTAGATATGAATCCATTGCACCACCTAGATTTCAGGGGTTAATATGAAAAGCTCTTCCTTTAATCTAGTACAGTACAACAACTGAATAGTTTCTCTTTTTGATTTCTTGTGATGGGCTCCAAAGCAAAAACATTGCCTCAGAAAGCATCTACTTTTTTCTCTATGCTTGTGCTTAAATTTGAGTTTCATACGGGGTTTTTTTCTCTTCAGATGTTCTTTGTGGTTTCAGAAGAAAAAAGAAGCTTAATAAGTCCTGGACAGACAGGAAAGACTGTCCACCAAACAGGTTCAGCTAAGCAGTTTAGAATAGGTTTGGAGCAGAAGTCATGTTTGTTCATGCCTGCTGTAGTTCTATATAGAGTTGCAGGGGCCATTGATATTGATACCTATATTGATAGGTCACACACTGACATCACCACCTGGAGAGTCACACCAACACAATTCAGCAGAACACCAGCTTCCCATATATATCTCAGTAATGCTATTTCAGTCACATTAAAAGCAAAGAGTTAATGCAATCCTCATATGGCACATTAATCTTGTTGGCATCCTTGGCCATGAAAGATTAATTTCCCATTTGTTTTCATGTTACAGTACCAACCGCAAGACTGTTAGGATGGAAAGTCTTCTGTGTACTGTAGTATAAAGACTTGAATTTTATACTGTATCGTTTTTTTTTCATATATATATAAACTAGGGTAGATCTTTTGTAATGCATTTGTATTGTGGTGGAGTGAATAGAACTGGAATTACTATAATCAGAAGAAAAGGAGTTGTTAGTTGTCCAACTAAATGCCATTTGTAGTTAATTGCTCTTAAATCCTCTTGCATAATTAGGGCTGCCTTTCTTCAGCAGACACGAGGCGCAGATGGGGTGAGTGAAAAACATGAAATTCAGATGAGCTCCGATTAAGATCTAGGGCTGCTGCCTCCTAGTCTCTTAACTTCTTCCAGTAGTGACCGAGGTTGCTTGGCTACTTTAAATGTAAATTTTAAAACCACAATTGTAATACTTTTATTTCTAATTAGCTCATTCTCAGGAGACCTGAGTAGATTTTCAATGATTCGGGTTTTCTGGTCTCTACTTGCTTTGCATTTTTCTTCTCTTTTTTTTTAGAAACATCCCAACTTCACTTTTGTTTTTGAAATCATCCATTCCTGTGTGGAGTGCTGTAGAAAACAGACCCTTTGTGCAAGACAAGGATTCAATGTCATTTGATTCTCTGCCGTTCTGTATCTGCTGTTGAGGTTTTATAGGCATGAGGGTTCCCCTGGGAGCTTTTTATATCAGTCCATTTCTTGGCTGATCATGAAAGTCTATACTGTATATTAAATGCAGGAGTTTACCAGCCTGAAAACTGGAACACATTAATATTCAGAAAACACATTGCAGAATGATTAGCAGTTGGTTTAACAGCATGACTTGGTGCGTATTTTTAAATGGAAAATAATGAAGATCTCTCAAATTAGGGAAATGGTTATTGCTTATTTTCTGTTGTTATTTCGAACTATAGTACTGTATAGCTAATATTCATCCTCTCTGGAACAGATGCCGTATAATGAGTTTTGTTAATATTTATGTGGTACGTTTGTACAGGGCAATGTGGGAAATGCATTTATGGCCTATCATAGAGCTATTAGTCATCAGACAGACTAGTTTATAAATATTGAAGCACACGGTGCAATGGCTCAAGTACTATACAACCCTCATCAGCTCTCCAAACCTATGTACCAAATCTAGGAATTTGGGTGACATCTGCTGGCCGTTCCATCAGTCTGCTTTCATTATATGAGTGGGTAACCCATACAAAGCCTGTCTAGCCTTAAAACTAGGGTTTTTGCTTGCTTCCAAAAAAAAGCAAACTAGAAAGGACTTCAGAAACGAACAGATGTTGCTTTTAAACATTAGTGGTAATGATTTACTTATAAAGAAAACAAATTTGGTCCTCAGTATTTTATTCTGTTAAATTAAATCATGTATTTATGTTATTGTTTTATAATTATCAGACACCTAAAATAATTTATATTGTAGTGCTGACAAGTGCTTTATGGGTTCAAGTAGTAATCAATGAAGCTTTGCTCACACGGGTTATTATCTAATTACAAAAATAGTAAACAATTGCAGTACCACAGTTTTTTCACGGTTTACCTTGCTAGCAATAGCTCAACTTGGGATCATGATCCATCACCATGGATCCCAACTCATATCTGACTGTAATATTTTATATCTGCTGCCATGTTTCTTTTACTCTGTCCACATTGTCATTCTTCCTCTTATGATTGTTCTTAATAATAATTTCCTGCATTCAGCATTCAACAGAATCTCCCACAGGCTCGCAAAGTGTTTTACTCAGGGAATGAGATTTCGACTGCACTTCTCTCAGAGGAGGAGTGTTTAGAGGAGTCCCGGCACAGTCACAAACATTGAACAACCTCGACCAGGCACATTGGAAAGAACAGGCCATCCCATAGTTAAATATTTAAGTTTAAGTTCTTGTGTTGATCTGAAATTGTCACATTAGTGGATACTGTAGGTAGCAGATAATAGCTACCAGCATTCCAACACCCCTGTGCCTGTAGTGTTTTCAATCGTTTGAACATGAGTCAACATTACAAACAGTAAATCTGCAAAGTGGGCAACGCACTGGTTGGCATTGCTCTCTCACAGCGAGGTGCACTCGGTTCAATTCTAGATGTGGGCTGCTGTCCGCATGTGTTATGTACTGGGCATGGGTTTTCTCTGGGTGCTTCAGTTTCCTCCCACAGTCCAAGAACATACAGTACTAGTAGCATAATTGGCTTCTGGGAGGATTGGAACTGGTATGAGTGATGAGAATGTGCGTGTCTGTATTTGTTGGCCAGCCCTGCAATGGACTGGCGTTCCCTCTAGGGTGTATACTAGCCCTTTGCATGCTGGGATAGGCTTCAGCTCCCCTGCGGCACCCTCTAACTGGATGAAGCAGTTACAAGAAGAATAGATGGGATTCTTACTCATTGAGGCTTCATGTCACTGTTTCTAGGTAAAGGGTGGCCCCCTTGTGGTGAAGGGATACACTGGATGTGGAGGTCAAAAGTACAATTCTTTGGATCTTGTCTGTGTTTTGCGTTTCTAGCTACATTAAATTGAAAGATGCTGATGTCATCACATATTGTCTCATAAAAGCTATTGGCAGCCTAGTTGCTAAAATATGGAGGGGGGTATTTTACATGCAGTTCTCCTCCCTGAAACATCTAATAGGCTGGTAAAGATTCTCATTGTCACTCCTATCACGTCATTAACGGTCAAGTCTTCAAGGACTGCATTATAATGCTAGAGGTACAAACAGTGTTTGGGTAAATTATTTAAACCCAATTTAGGAGTGGAAGATATAATCACATTAGTAAATTCTGGATTCACTAGTGTCAAAGAACAAAAGAAATTGAGGAGCCATTTGCATCCAATTTAGATGTAATAATGTGTAGAAGCAATTCCTGACATTCCTAGCAGATGAAGAGTGTCACAGTTAATACCACAACTTGCCATGAAAGGCTTTATATATTTTTTATTTTTTCCATATAAGTCATGCACAAGTAAGAAAACAAATTGAAATTGTCAACTGAGATAATCTGTTGGTTCCCTGCTGATGAAATAATGACCTCATTCTGGTCTAGCACAATTGTACCAGCATTAGCCAAGAAATAATCATTATGGCACCCCTGTGCTACCGATGCCATAAAAAACTAAACGCAGGCCTATCCTACCAATCTGCTAGCTGTTTAATTATGTAGGATAACGGTCTTCCTCATGGAGCCTTCTGTCAAGGTCTTGTAGAGAGAAGTGCTGACTGGCCTCATATTACACTGCCTTTCAGCTTTTGATTTTGTCTCCTCCATGTTGGTGGAAGGAAAACTAAGTAAATATAGAAGTACAGGATCTGTCTAATCTACAGAGAAAAGCATGCCTGCAGGACTCACAGGGTCTACATACCGTATATTGTATTGTAGATTCAGACAGAAGTACTAGCCACCTATAGCATTTTGTCAATATATTGAGTGCATATATATAGATTTGTTTATCTCAAAGGATACCAAAGTGCTTTGCATACAGAATGGGAACCCTTTCATCCACTACTGTGGGTGCCACACCCACTTGATAGCCATTATGTAACAGCAGCCCCACTGCACTGCAAGTCAGGAGAGAAATGAGTAACTGATTCACCACCTGATTTAAGGGGGAGTGCTAAAGGATTATTAATGGTCAGACAGCCAGGGCTTCAGTTAAACATCACATCCGAAAGACGATACCCCCTGCAGCACAGCATCTACTTTTGCCATACTGACACTATTGATTCAACATTACAGTCTGCAGGCAAGAGTGCCAACTACTGGTCCACCAACACGACTTGCAGCAGTTACATGGTTTTTCTTAGAGAGCTCCCATCCCAGTACTGACCATGGTCAGCCTTGCTTAGTTCTAAGATGTGATAGGATTAAGCTAGAAGGTGGTAACATTGCTGACAAGGAACAAGTAATAGGTTTATTCCATGCTGAAAAAAAGAAGAAAGAGAACACAACGTTTCGGCCGTGGAGCCTTCTTCAGGTGTGAGAGAGACAGGGCAGTAGGCAAAGGTAAAGTAGCGGGAGAACAAAGGTTGGGAAGGAGGAGGAGTGAGAGGCGGGAGCAGGGGACAGAAAGAGAGGCCAATCAAGAGCAGCCTACGCATGCTGACGCAGCTACCCACCTGAACTAACATTGCTGACATTGCAATATACCTGTTCATACACTTACACTCACTTAAAATATTAGCGACACAATTTTATATCACTGTGAAGATTGATTGATACAATTAATATCATTAACTCACATAGATCCTTCATCGCTTTTTTGGCATAAAAAAATCATAATTCCTTTATACTGAAGAGTTGTGCAGTTGGTTGGAAAGCCATCTTCACATGCTTGACTGCTGCTAAGTGAATGGATTATTATATTACTGCCAGAAGCATTGATCATCACCCAAGTCAGATAACTGTATTAAAACTGTAAAAAGAATTATAGCCATCAAATAATTTGCCATACATGCCTGCCTTTATCCAGAACTATACTTTTCTTCTTTTGGACTATAGTCTGAATATTCTCTTTTTTGTGTCCCTGTCACAAGATTGTAAAATCCAACCTGTTCTTAAACCCAGCAGCTCTTTTTTCCAGTTCTATGGTTGATGTGGCTCATTATCCTTCATCTAAAAATTCCGAATCACACCTGTGCTGTTCTCTTGGAGGTCACGGTGCTATCTGAGGATTAGTGATTAATAGTTTCACTGGTTTTGTGCAGCATCAGCAGAATGTCATTCAGGGATATCTAAAAACAGCAAGAAGGTTTCCAGATCACATCTAAGGGGTACACACCATGCAAGTCCTTTTTACTTTACAATACAAATAGGAAGGTAAGTAAAAAAATATCACAGGAAAACAATGTATATCCTACCCAATAATTCAAATTAGTGTACTTCAGAAACAATAATTTGTCCATCAGGTGTGTCATGTGCCCTGCCAAAAGAAATTGGTCCTAAGAAAATTTAGAAAAAGCTGAAAGTTTAGAATTATTCTAAAACCAATGGAAATGGAATGGAATAATTATTTTTTTTATTTATGCTACCCTTTTGTTTGTCCTACAGGAAAGGTTTCTCGGCTGCATAGGATAGTAGGATGTGGAAGGTTTCTTTTGTAAATAGATCTTAATCTTCATCTTAGCACCCAGATTGTAAAATTGAAATTTCCCTCTTTTTTCAGGGACTTCCCTTACAATTGTCACACGGCAAGCAAATGAAAAGGCAATGATTTAAAGTCAGTGTAAAGTGTTTGAAGCTTTGTTTGTAGCTAGTTTGTATTGAACTCAAAGTGTTTTGTGTGTAAGAACAGCATTTTCAGTTTGACACTTAAAACATTTCTGTTCTTTTTGCATTTTGGGCATGTATTTAGTATATCATAACCTATAGGTTTTTCTCTGTTCTTTCCTCAATAAGCATTTTCAAAATGATAACACTGATATTTAGACATTATTTTTTGGTTGTGCAATGGGGGAAGATTGTTATTGAAACCATTTAGCTTTTTAAATATTTACAAATTTACAGTAGATGGAACACACTCTAAGGATTAAAGACAGACACCACTTTCATTTTGTATTAGTTTGCCTTTGTTTTTAACACTGTAACCTACACTTTGTAGTACGTATTCTGGCTTTGTGGCCTGAAATAACAATGCTACAGTACAGTATGTATGAATTCAATTTCTGCTAATTAAGTGCATTATCAAATTTCAGCACTATATACTATATTTGTTTGCATGGAACTACTTTTTTATTGTCCTGTTTGAGTAATATTCAAAAACAGATGGGAGTGTCACTGACAGCATTGACAGGCTACAGGAGTGCCCCAGAGGTAATTCTGTCAAATATGTCTGCTCACTGCCTGAACTGAACATGATAGGAAGATGCTAAGCTGATGGAGCAACTTCTGTTTCATTTACAGTAGGTCAGAAGGAGCCCCAATCACAGCTTGTTAAAATTTAGGAGAACTGTGCCAGTCAAATGAATAGATGACCAAATTTGAAGAAGTCTGGCCTTTTAATGCTTGCCTGCTCTGCAGTTGCATTGTAGCTATAAATTCAGCTAGTTGCTGACAAAGTTTGGATTGGTATCAAAAACCAAAGCGTAGCCTATGAAGTGATGAGACAGGGCCCCACATTACTGGATGTACCTCAAAAGAGGGTGTTACTAATCATGGCCTCCTAATAATCCCCATCTATGAATTGGCTTCATCACTCTCAGCAATGTCAGGGTACTTTCCGTAAAGAGTAGGGGTGTATCTCCGGTGTCCTGGCCAAATTTCCTCCTTAAAATTTGGCCTCCTAATAATCCCCATCTATCAACTGGCTTTGTTACTCTTTTCTCCTGTCCATTGATAACTGTGTGATGTGTACTTTGGATGCATCATTCGGGTGAGTACTGCACATTGGTGGTGGAAGAGAGACCCTATTATCACCTGGAAAGTGCTTTAAGTGGAGTGTCCAGAAAGGCACTAATGTATAGAAGTGTAAGGAATTATCATTGTTATTATTAAAAGCAGGTAGGGCTTCAGAACACTACTGGGCACTTCTGAACTTCTGGGCAACTTTTGAATGTACTATTGATTTAAAAGGGACACAATTGCTGGGCTGATAGAGATTGTCATCAAACCTGTGAAGACTTATCTCCAATTTCAGCACAAGTGCATGCACCCATCTCTTTCATCATTTTCAAGCTCTCACAGACGTGGATGACAGGCAGCAGCTCATCAAATAAGATTGCTGGAACCCTCTTATGTACTGTACAGTATAATGTATATCAATATATATGCCCTACTACAAACAATACAGGCCTACGGCCTACAGTATGTTTTACAGTGTGGAAAAGAAGGTCACTTTCTCCATGAACAGTAATATTCTTCTAGTTCAGTTCTGCTGCAGCCTTAAAGGACAAAACAGAGCTACAGAGTCACAAGCCTCTCAAGGGATGACAGTTTAACTCTGGAGTTAAGGGCAGTCCACTTTAGAACTGTTCTTGCCTTGGAAGGCATACACAGTAATGCAGCTGTGGATATACTGTAACAGCAGATGAATCTTACACGCAGCATCCAAACAAGGAACACCCAGCTCTTGAGAAGGTGCATCTCTGTAACTCTAAATCTGAGATAGGGATGACAGTCTTGAGGGATTTACTGTTGAGTTTTCAAATCTACTGTAACATGTATCAATATGTATGTATGGACTGCTTTCCCTGTTTTCTGGGACTAGGTTTTCTGAAGGCAGCCAGAAGAAAGGACATTAATCGAGACATAAATCGTGTTGTTTTACTGACTCTCCAATGGTTCCTCTGTACACCCACACCTGCACACCTCTAAGTAACGTCCCATTCTCCTGTTCCCTACAGACATTCACTTTCTTACTTGCAAGCTGTTGTTGTGTTAAACTAACCTCTTCCATTCTTTACTGCCACAACTACATAGTCTCTCATTTTACTGGAGGAAATTAAGTCTAACCCACAGCCCATATTTCTTCCTCAGCCCTATCAGCGTGGGAATAATCATAGCAGTGGAGGTCAGCTAATATTCCTGAACACTCTGAGCCAGATCTCTAATTTTCACCTTGTGTAAACACACAAGCTTTTCTCATCACTGTGATCACTGTACAGTTAAATTTTACTAGCTCTCACATCTGGCTTATTCAGTCCATACGAACATGACTTTTTAAGCCTGTAAATACAAACTCACTTTTGTTGGTGTCGCCTAATAAGAAGTGTTTGCATAAATTATTTTGCACTTTAGAACAATTTTCACTAGCATTGAAATGCACATACAGTAGTTGTGTAGAATTTAATGTTTTTTTTAAGCAAAAAAGGGAAAAAAGTTCCATTCTGCTTGTCTTGCTTATTAAACAACTCTTCAATAGTAATTACCCCAGAGAAAGAAGTGCCATGTATTAATATGCAATGTGCACACAGAAGACTGGAGATCTTAAATTTCATTTATCAGTTTAATTAAATTAAAAAATACTCCTCTGGGTTGACAGTGCTCTTCCAAGTGCTTACAGTTCTTTTGTTTTTTTCTTTCAACATACCCACAAGCAATTAATTAAAAAAATGCCATAAATATACAATATATGAGATATAAGTTTTGAGAAATACATGTTTATACTTTTTAATCCTTAACAAATACACTGGTGGTCTTGCTTTGGCAACACAATGATTAAGTTTCAAGCATTAAGAGACGAAAGCTTACAAAACCAACATGCATAACATTGAAATGCTGGATAATAATGGAATTCCTTGTATATCTTGAAATAAGGCATTGTGCTTCATCTTCAAAGGTACTGTAGTACTAGCTGATGTGAACCTTATATGTCACTGTCTCTGGCAGAGTACACTTTGATCTTTGCAGTGCTCAATGTCCTCTAGTAGTCAACTCAGAAAATACACACATCTTATATTCAGAGGAACAAGTAACAGGTTTTTTCCATGCTGAAAAGAGAAGAAAGAAAACACAACGTTCAGGTGACACCTGAAGAAGGCTCCTAGGCCGAAACGTTGTGTTTTCTTTCTTTTTTATTCAGCATCGAATAAACCTATTACTTGTTCCTTTACAGCCTACGCATGCTGACGCAGCTACCCACCTGAACTCTTATTTTCAGATACTCACACAAAGTATCTTGACTTATACTGTATAACCAAACATGCTGTAGAATGCTGCGTTTTGCTCATCGAAACGAGCTATGAATATAACCTATATATCTGTCAGTATATAGGAAATATAGAAATATACTGTAACCTATATACTGTATTTGTCAAAGAATGACATTGACTTTGATATTGACATTTTGACATTCCTGGACAAGAGTGTCCTTGAGAGACATGCAACAGTCAAAGGAATCAAGTGTGCCTGACAATGGACTCATACAATGATGATGTGTTCCATGATTATCATGCCAGAGTTCTGGTCATTGAAAAATGATTTTTTTAACTGACACAAGTAGCTCCATTAGAATTACTGTACCAGTCCTGCTTTCTAACTTCATTGATTGTATAGGAAATTGGGATCGGTGCCTTCACGGTTTGTACAACATTTTGCACATTATTAATGGCTTTCAGGATTACACTAATACAGGAGACAATAATAAAGTTGCACAAAATATAATTGCAAAAAAAAAAAGAAACTGGAAGATGTAAGTCAAGGCTTTTAGCTTATCGAACCTGGACAGAGATTAACAGCCAAAAAAGGTTTAACAGTATTGTGCTATGTTTGGGGCTAAAATAAGCTTGGCAAGGATAGTACTGTATATACAGCATCTAAACAGACAAAGCAGTCTGGGAAGGCTGACATTTTTCTTGTCTAGCCAGAATTTGCTCTTCCTCTTTGCGCTGTACTACATAGAATAACTCAGTTCTGCGGATAGTGCCTCAGGTTCCCCCATTTTCCCCACTCATTGGTGAGGGCAAAGTAGGGAAATAAATATTCAGAAGCAAGAGCAAATCCTTTCAAACAACAAGCAGGATTAACAAAATAGACATAAAATGAACAACCCATATCCCCCAGAGTGATACAGGGTATGATTTCAAACATATAAACTTTACACAGTAGCCAAAATATATAAATATATTGTCTCACAATAAGGGAAATGTGAACAAAATCTTTTATTTCCTTCACAAATCCAATTGGTATGTCATCTTCAACAGTTAAGAGACTGGAGTTTTGATTTTAGTCAACTCCTGGCAGCTGAAGGAGCATGGCCGAGCTCAGTGCACTTGTCACACAGCTACGAACACCCGCTATGGGTTTGATTGGTGTGCGAGGGTCTTTTTCTCATAGGGCACTAGCGAAATGCTAATCACTTAGAAGGAATGTCCATAAATATTTGAAATATCTCGTTTTAATCATGGACACAGTTCAGAGGCTAGTTGAAGACAACATCAGAAGTGCCAGGAGCTGTCTTTGAATGGAGCCTTTGTAGTCATGTGCCTGGGAATAAAAGAGCCTTTGGTTCAAACAGCTACGAAGTGTCAGGGGTCCCGTGGTCTGTGTGGGCCTTCAGAAGGTCAACTATCTCCGTGTGGGAAGCTTCCAGAGCTATAGACAAAGCACTGTTGCCTTCCTGAGGAGAGAGCACAGCACAGTCACTATAGAACTGCAGAGGTAAAGAAATCACAAATATTTGGCTTTGGTTCTGAGATCATTTAGATAAAACGTAAGAGGAGACTGGTTGTTTCATAGGCAGGCCAGACCATCCTTGGTAAAAAGATTTTCAAACCTGTTTTTTTTTTCCTTTTTCTGGAAGTGTTTAACCTGGTGAGGTTCTGAGCCAGCACACTCCATTCCTTCTCCGCACAAAAAATGAGGGAGAAAATAATAGCTTTTGAAAGGGATTAGTAAACCTAAACCGCAGAGATTTTGCCACAAAGGAAGTCATTAATAAAGAGCATAACACTAATGCCACTCTATTTCTATACTAATATTACAATGTGAAGGTATTTGTGTATTGAAAGAGTCAATTGTTCTCAGGAGATCCCCCTGATTCCCCGAAGGTCTGGGGAGTTGAAGGTTTCTGAAAATAACTTGCTCTCTCTCTAACATACAGTACCTTTTCATTTTCTTTCCAGCTACGACTTACTTTCATTTCATGTCCAGTAGATGGCGTCATGAAGAGCCTTTTGTTTTTTTTTTTACACTCTGACAATTTGCTTGCACTCTGAACAAACACAACACTACTGAGCTGCACACAATGCTGAAATATAACCTCCTCCTCTTTCAGGGGTTTAATTAAACCCCTGAAAGTTTAATTAAAGCACAACTTTCAGGGGTTAATTATTTGCTTCTGTCAACGTTTGTCTTCCAGCTATCCTGCTGTTTATCCTATAGATAAGGGCTGGCTCAGGCTCCTTTACACCTTTATTGTACGTCTTGGCAGTAAGAACTACAGTATCTGAGCACAATCAGACCTGGAAAGTGCTATGAGAAAAGATCACAGACAAATATGATGTTTTACCCCCCTCTTATTGTTTGGTTCTATCTGTTTCCATGGAACACAGTGTGTTGCTTTAATGTAAAACACTATATATATACATTCCATCTTGTTTTCCTGCTCTGGTGCATGGCCAGAACCATAGCTGTTAGAATGCCAGCTAAACCTTTAGGAATGTGGAAAACCATTTTACACTGCCTCTGCAATGTAAACAGCTTGGCTTAGGTGAATGCACATCTATGATTGTGGCTAAGTACAGCGTTCCCATAAATCAGACCAATCAACCATGACTCACTTGGGCTCTCCATACAACCACAACAAAAGAACGCTTGTCTATTTTGGACAGAACCGTAATTCTTGTAGGTTTAACAATTGTAAACATATATGCATCAGCTTGAGCCTGTTATAATAAGCTGTGCAATTCTCCATATTTTGACAGGCTTTTATTCAACAGAGAATTAAAAATGGTAGTGCCAAACCGATGCTTTATCAGAGTGGTTAAATATGTAGAAAGTAAAAGTAAGTTGTTACTATTGTTCTTATGCATTATGGTAGGTGTCCTTGTTGGTTTATCACTAGTGTCACTAAAACACTTTAGTGTTTTTTGTACAAAGTCTTTGTTCCAGTGTGATTTGAACTTATGGCTGAATATCAAACCCATCATTCCAAAGAATTAAAAAAAGACACAAAACATGTCAGTAGCTAGTATATGGAATCATTATGAAACCTACTCTTTTACATTACTCCAGAGATTCATCTTATTACATGACAAATACACATTTCTCCCTGTCTGTAAGGGCTGTGCAGGGAGGTAGATTTACAGGACAAAGGACACCCACTTTTCTTGGTGGGGTACACTCACATTATCGGTGATGCTGGCGTCGCAGGCCGGCAGCGCGAGCAGGAGGCGGACGATGTCAGCATGACCGTGCTCGCACGCGCACATGAGCGCTGTGGAGCCATCATCGTCCTGAGCGTTGACGTCGGCGTTGCAGGACAGCAGCAGTCGCACCATGTCAATCCGGCCGTGACTGACAGCCAGCATCAGAGCTGTCTGCCCAGCCTAGGAAGGAAGGTAGATCATTAACTGGCATTCTCCAAATCCTTCAGGCTGCACTGGAAAAACTGCACAGGGGGTTGCTCAATACATCCATCAATACATGCATGAAGGAGTTCACTGGGCTTGGTTGGTTGCAAGGAACTCTCTGTAAACTCAGTTTGGACACAATTAATTCATCCATGTATTAGACCACATGATGTGTGTTACTATTTTTGGTTTTGTTGTTATGTTGTTATTATTTCTTGACACATTTCATTTTAACAGCACCAAGGTGTCAATTAGCATTGGAAAAACCAGCACGCCTTACCCTAACCGTGATACTATTTCAATGACATAAATGAGCATTTTTAATTCTTCTCAGTTTAGAGTATATACAAATTGAGTCTTATTTCAAGTTTTAAATGAATTCCCCTCCATTTAGGTTGCATACATTGAAAAAGAATATGCTGTACTTTAGAGGAAGAATAAGGCAGGGGAAAAAAAACTATTACATCCTAATTATATAAATTATATAATGCATTGGGTATTTGTGATCAACTAGCACTTAACAAAGTTCAATTTCCTACATCAAAGTTCAATTTCCTACATCAATGAGCATTAGCCCAAGGCATCACATTTTAGACTGTTAGTCAATTACTGTATGTGTGATGAGTCTGGGAACAGTCATAATAACTAATGACAAAAAGAAAATCTGGAATATTGCCTAATCGGGGGTTTATTAAGTGCTAGTGAGTCACGAAATTAGTGGCCCACAGGTGAAGCTTCAGAGCACTGCCAGACCTGACTGGCCCTTGTGTTGATGTCCCCCTGCTTCAGAAGCTGCAGGGCCACATCCATGTCCTCCCGAGAGTCGGCAGCAGTTAGGGAGGCCAGCATGATGGCAGTGTAGCCCGCTTTGTTCTGATGATCCACTTTGCACAAGCCTGTCAGATAACATTGGAAGCATCCACATGTGGGTTAAAAGGCTTCAATGGAGTTATTCTGAATGTGATTTCTATTAAGACATCTTTAAGATGTCCTCATCAAAATACTGCATTCAGGTTCAGCCACATTTTTTCAAACTCTGTGTCATTTTTGATGAACGGGGAAAATGGAATGAAGATTTAAGAGCTTCATTTTTTTAGATTAAAAGCTTCGGATCACAGCCCTTTCCCTGAAGTTTCAGTTACTACTTTCAATTAGGTTGACTCATGGAAAACGCAGTAGGATGTCCAAAAATCAATTCTGGTACTCAGCTCTTGAAAAAAATCAAACCTTAAGCTGGACACATGGTTTTGATCAGGAGTGAATCCGTTTGATTCAGAAAACCATGCTGCTGAACATGAAACATCTTGTTTGTACCAAATTTCATTAAGTAATGGTGTTTGCAATGCAGTTACTTGATTCAATCAACTAACCTTTTAATAAGCCCTTTTAATTTCCATGCGTCAACCTAATTGAAAGTAGTAACTGAAACTCCAGGGAAAGAGCTGCGCTCCACTGAAAAAATAACCTCTTTAATCCCTGTTCCATTCTCCCCATTCATCAAAATTAACGCACAGTTTTTCAAATTGAACCTGAATATCATAATAACAGCTCTGCAATATGTAGACGCAAATAATGTTATTCTTTCTATCTAAGAATTTCTATCTAAGTCCTGGAATATATTCCTGCTGGGATGTGTGTCACATTATTATGTGAAGTGTTGAGTCCTGATTCAAGGACCCTGGTCATAGCCAGCTTACAGTACCTGTGTCCAGGAGCAGTTTGACGATGCGAAAGTTGGAGTGGGAGACACTGTAATGAAGAGCAGTATTTCCATTGCCATCAGCTGAGTTGATGACAAACTCCAGGACTTCGGGAGAGACAGCTTTCAGCTCCTGGAGGTACAGAGCCAAGGCATGGGCCTGGGAAGCCTTCTGACTGGAAACACGGAACCATTCGTAGTAAACCACACTCAGGACCTGCCTCTGAGGAGTACACGGGACAGGGGTTGAGAGCAAACCCAGACCCAGAGGAGTCCTGCCTGTCTTTTTCTGGACCTCACTGTTGCCCAGGTATGCACTGCTATCCTGCCAACTTAAACATGTAACATGTAAACATGTCGGTGATGGAAATACAACTACAGTTTATACCTAGAAATAACACTGAGAGAATTGTGCTATTGGCTTTTTTATGTTATGAGATAATCTATTGTCTTACTACAGTCTTTAAAACAGCAAAGCTTCTCTAATATTCCTAGGAATCCAAATTCATTTAATTCCATTATACAGTATATGAAATGCCTAGTATACCATAATACACTGAAAACTAAGGTAATGCAATTTGATTAATTCATGACAATAAATTATGTATGGCCCTATTTTAAAACAGTTAAGCTTACACCTGCTTTTTTATACTAAAAAATAACATAATAAAAATAACATTTATTATAAAATACTAAATTACTGCAGTTATAGAGAATGAAATAAGTATTTAAGGATATTAATTGAAAGTCCACATACAGGTTAGCAACCTAATATTTCTAATTGCAGAACATTCTTAGTGAATAGGCTCAGCCCTTACTGCTTCATAGACAGTCCTACCAGTTCTCTGCTGGGAGAGATAACCTCTGAAAGGTGATCTTTAAGGAAAAGACATGCAGCCATGAAATCCTCATCCACTGTTTCCCTGAAAATGAGGAAAAATCTGCTATAAACAACATAGTCCTGAGGAATTATGAAGTACATACTGTATATTAAAATGGTTAGATTTCTAAGGCAATTGTGATAAATAGCCATTCTATTTGTAAAGACACTTATGATACCCAAATATAACAAAGAAACAAAATCAACTACTGTATATTAGGGTTGTCCCAGAGGACCTAAGCAAGAGGGAGGTGACAATAATTTACCGTGAACAAATGCAAAAAGTTTAAGATTCCTAAAAACATTTACAATTGCAGATGTCTCTGTATAATTGTGCTAGTATAGTTACAGAATAATGCCACTGTGTTTTTGTTAGAATCACTTAATTCTAGACAATAACTAAGTCTCCTGTTAAGTCATAATGTTAATTTTCTGGAACATAAAAGACTATTCTAAAGGATACTGAAAAACAGTTGCTCAATACCTGTTGCACATTTCTCCATAATCCATATTTTCTTTTCTTCTTTTTTATTATTGATGAATAAGGACCCTGCATCAGCTAATGTATTTCTTTTCATCTGTGAAATGTGTTAACTTAGTTTTTTAGCTCAGTGTCTTATAATTTGTGGGTTGAATCGATAAAGGTCATTCATTATAACTTTTCAGAGACCTGATTTAGAACAAACAGCTTTTAAATATTCATTTCAGACCCCAAAGTGCAATGAAAGTTTTCTAGGATCTGTGTAAATGAAACTAAAATAATTTGTGTTGTTATCAGCTTACTGCTGACCTCAAAGAGCGTGTACTGTCTGAGGTATGCGTAGGTGTGCTTCTCAGTGATAGCTGCATTTCAGAAATTACCCAAAGTGCAAGTAGTGAGTAAATTATAATACTGAATCTTTTTTAATTGAATTCACATACATTGAGCTCTCACAGTTGTACCTGATGACAGATGTCCAATGAAAACAAACTGGTGATCAAATGCAGTTTAATCAGGACTCCAGAACTACATTACTGGAAAGGTTCTAATAAGGACATAAATACAGTTATACAGGAAATCCTGGACAATATAAGCTCTCATCTTGCCAGTTTGAACTTAAACATTAATACTTTTTCCAGCTACAGTCAAACTCCAGCTTTAGCAATGATGTAGTAAACTGAACACAATATGCTTTCTCCATCAGCTATCTGGTGATTTCACTTTTTATAATGCATATACATACTGTAAATGATGAAGAATGTCATCATTTAATAAACAGCATTTACTTTTGCAGCAGAGCAAATGCAAAAAGTGTTCAGATAACATCAAGAGTCTGCAGTCTGCAGTAACTGGTGTGCAGGAATATGTCTGAATTTATATGCCCTTTTCATCCAGAATGCTTTGTGTACATTACAGGGGCAGTTTTCTACTCATCCCTGGAAAAGCATTTAGTCCACAATGTGACCAGACTATAGGGGACAAAGAGATAAATTGAGTTTATAACAGAAGTTTGGAAGGATGGTTAGATCCTAATCTCTCATGCTTCCACTCTCCTATATCTTGCATCCAGAATTCCCTTTGCTGATCACTCTCGCACCCAGCCCGCCAAACCAGCAACACCTTTGAAGCGGCTCCCTAGCTCATTCCTCACAATACAGAGGGCATCTGGGACGGAAGGGGGTTTCAGGCAGTCTCATCCTCACAGCTAGACTGCCAGCTAGACAAGACTTCCCTCAGCTAGGTGAGTCACGCCAAATGCCCTCCTCACATTTCATAGAAATGGAGTGTTGTGAAATAAAATGTTTTTATTTCTGCCACTTGTTTTCAGAAGCAGCACAACGGTAGTTCCCAAAGCACATAACAGCCACAGTCCTTGTGAGGCTTTGAAATGTGAATGTTCTCTCAATTTGGCCTCACCTGCTTGCCGCCTCTGGCTGTGGCATATTGCTGGACTCACTGGTCACCTGCGAATGACCTCCAGTCCTCTCAGACTCTTCTGAATTGGTGCTCTGAGCCGCCTCGACCCCTCCATCCTCTCTCTCCTCTGAGCTATCATTCTCCTCGTCCTCTCCGCTGGACTCCTCACTCGAAGTCGTTTCATACCTCCAAAAAAAAAACACGTCTGTGAAGGGTTTGTCATGACTTTATCCCCATTTTATTAAAGGCACAAATACTTAAAGCATGAAGTTTAATCTTTTGTATTTGGTTTTACTTGCTTAAAAGCTGGTCTTGGAAAGCATGACATAGTGTGTAGAGCACTAATAGAATAACTGTTAATACAACAGCTCACAATAACTGATTTTTGGCAGCAACATGGAATTTCTTTTTTTTCACATTGCGTGCCCCTAATCTGAGCCCTGTGTGGGTGCTGAGTCAAGTCTCTGTGAAGTTTGTGGTTTGTTGTGGATGCCCTATGGCGTGGGCTTCCAGTTGAAGGAAACAAAAAATATTTTTAAGTGTCTCCTGGGGAGGCAGAGGATTACCAACCACATAACTGAACACATCCCATCTCTGTTTCACTGGGGCAAAAGTTCAAACCCCTGCAGCCCTGAACTCACCCGGGAGCTGCACTGCGGTGTCACAAATTAACATGAGCATTTCTGCAGGCAGGAGAATCAAGTGCAAGTAACTGCTTTAATGCTCCTTTAGCACTAATGAATAGATTATTTATTCAACATTTCTGCAATGCTCTGATAAGAAGGTCTGGAATTTGTGACAAGGTCGCTCCCTTGGGGTGATGTGAGTTGGCTAAGCCAGTTGATAGACCTGACTACAATAATAATAGAATGCCAGTTTTCCTGCATTGCATACACAAATGTTTAATTGTTTCATTTTATTTCTACCACGTTACGGCACTATCAAAGTACTGATTGACTAATAATGATTTCATCTCACTGTCCTTCATCATGGGTCCATACTTTGATCGGGACTCTTGCCTGGATAAGAAGTACAATTTAATGAAAGCCACAAAGGCTTAAGATCAGAATGATAGATAAAGGCACTTACCCGCCATTCACTCCAACAAACTTCAGGTTCTTTTTGGCTCCACTGCTTCCCAGCCTGACACTGCAGTCCTTCTTCTTCATGATGGATTTCAAGGCTGAGGGTGGAGAGCACCCTGTGTAAACGCAAGCAATGCAGTGTGACTATTTGTCAGCCTCGAAAGTTTATTGCACCACTACAGTTATTCTGTTCAATCAGAATTCCTCTCATTCAAGAGTTGAAGATTTGTTCTGCTTTTGCTTCCCGGTTCAAAGTGAAAAACCGAATCTGAACATGATGTGTAGCTTCAGACAGAGGCTTTAAACCTGACTTACTCAAAAGGACTAATATGTTATGACATCCTAGTGTCTGCATATTTTTCATGTGTTTTGGGTCAGGAGGCACTTTTTCCTTTTTACACAGCAAATACTAAGCTAATATTTAATGGATCTTCAACATGAAGGATTGTGCAGATAAATATACAGTAAACAATGTTAACAATATTGTAGTTTTTGTAAAATGTCAACACAGCATTAAGCATAACAAAAATTACAGTGTGTAATGTTCTTCTGGTTTACCACAGCTGTTATACAATATTAAAAAAAACAGATGGTCTGAAAAAAAAACATAGTTTGTTGTGTTTAAAATGTCTATGAAGCCAGAATGCAGAGTTAAGGATAATTAAAATAATAACATGGCTAATGGATTAAGGGTGGCTTGGTGGTGCAGTGGTTAACATCGCTACTTGTAATACTAGGACCCTGAGTATTACAAATTAAATTCTGGACCTGGGATGTTATTTGTGTGGAGTACGTATGATCTCCCTGTGTTGGAATGGGTTTCTTGTGGATGCTTTGGTTTTCTCCCACAGTCCAAAAGCATACTGGTAGGTTTGAAAATTGGTTTGAATGTGTATATGTGTATGGAATTCCACCCAAGGTACTGTGCCTTGTGCCTGTAGCTTGCTGGGATAGGGTTTGGCTCCCCATGACCCTAAATTGGAAGAATTGGTTAGACAATGGATGGATGTATAGTGGATTTCGATCCACTATTTAGCGATACTGTTTTCTGATTTTCTACATAATCCTATGATTTTAAGATACACTCACACATTCTGTTTTAAAGCAGTGTTTCCCATACACAATATTTGTGTGAACAGAGAGATAACATAAAATCAAGGCAGCAATAGATTTTTCAGATTTTATGCATGGTGGAGATAACTATAACCCCAGTTCCTTTGCCCAATGACATATGGAATAAAACTAGATTTGATCTGAGCCCGGGAGACATCTAACAGTGACAAATTCTACTCTTCTCTAGCATATGCTACTAGTGTTTTGATCATTATCTATACATATTTCACAGTCTGGAGCATCTACTCACCATCAGCTTAAACAATCATGCATCTTTGATTACTTTGATCATATTGCGTAACGTTTAATAGGAATAACAGTGTTATCTATTCAGCAGATGGCATCTTAGGGGTTTAAAGTTAATCAGCTGCAGCTACTGCTTGAGCAGTGACTCAAAGTTTACATTAAAGTGGGAATACAGGTGTACCTTCTTGCTGAGAATCTCTACTGCTCTCCTCTTTGTGTACTTGTGAGGAATACATAGAAGAGAGAACGTTAAGGGAACTGACTAGCTGGTTTTGAATGGAGCTGATTTTTGAGGCAGGTTGCCTTAGTGTGCTGGCAAGTTCTGGGTGTCCATTTTCCAGGCAGGCCCATTGTTCATGCAAAAGTTCTTGGATTCGTGTTACATAATGTCCAAGAGCAGCCTGGGAAGATGTGGATTCATCTGTTTCCTGTTGGTGGAGAGCTTTGCTTCCTGATTCATCTGTACCCTCTTTTTGCCATTCTTGCATTTGTTCAGCCACGCAGCCTACACCATCTTTGCAGACAGAAATAGGAGATAGTTGGTTACCATTGCTTGTGTACTCTAAGGGCACTTCAGGTTCCTTGTGTGTGCAATCAATAGGAGGGTCCTCTTGAGCAGTGTTAGGACAGGCTGTCACTAGTTGAGCAGTTTCAACAGCTTTATCACAGGTGCTCACCACAGCCTCTACAGACTTATCCTCTGTAAGGACTTTTACAGAAACATGCACTTCATTTGTTGACACACAGTCTGTCTGATTCTTAGAGCTTCTGAGGTCTTTTGGTTGCGTTTCAGTCAGATTCTCGCAAGCCCCTTGCTGGAATATACCATCAGTCATAACTCCTTTATCACAGAAGATGTTTCCTTCCTCTTTTGTTGCCATCCCCACTGCTGCATCACAGAGACAAACACAGTCTGAGTCAAGCTTGGTCTCCACTGTGTCTGCTGCTCTTTGTAATACCTTTGCCTCCTTGAGATTTGCACGGGCCTCTGCCTCTTCTGTCAGAATCTTTATCCTTTCTTCCTTCCTCACGTTTTCTTTCATTTGCTCCTTTAGTAGAGAGTTTACTTTATCCAGCTCTTTGGTAGTGTCGTTCAACTGCTTTTCTACAACGGTGAGTTTTGTCCTCAGTGCTATGATAGTGAGTGGTCCTGTATCGCTGCTTACCTGCTCAGATGTTAAACCTAAATCTTTTTCTGTCACACCCACACCTACATTCTGTACTGATGGACTTGCCAGTGCTTTTACTGTTTTTTGTGTATCCTGTGTATCTCTAAGCTTGTCAGCTGAAGCTGACATACACTGAGCTGAAAGCTGGCTAGCAGGTGTATTGTTTAAACCTTCAGGCAGTTCTTTACATTGTGACTGGCCATTTCTTCTCTCGTGTTCAGAGTGCAGTGTTTTTTCTTCTGTGGCCACCGCAGACTGAGGGGGAAGTTTAAGAATGAGCTGATATTTCTCTTCCCTCAGAGAACATATTTGTTCTTTCAGTTCTGGAATCATTCTCGCTTGCTCCTCAAGCTCCTTGACCCTTTGTAAAGCGTTTGTGAACTGCTGATGTAGGCTGGACATTTCCTTTTGCGCGGTCAGCTGATGTTTGTTGTCTGGGCTAGGTGAGGCATTAAGCGACCAAAAGCTGTTTTCAGAGGTGCCATTCGGTTTGTTGGAGCTCCTGATGGGCGGAGGGGCTTGATCTTCAGAAGGTTCTGAGTTCTTCCTCTGAAGGACTGTCACAGGCAGGCTAGAAGTTCTCAAAAGCTGAGGCCTAACTCGAAATCCCAAGGGCTGCTCATCAAAAGCTTTCACTGAACTGAAACTAAAACCCAGTGCCCTGGGAGATTCTGGTGTCATGCTTTCGGCTGCCCTGAAGTCAAAGATCTGTTGGACATCCAGGGCTCTAGATTTGTTTTTTGGCAGGTAAGAGCCTGGGGTATTCCAGCTGTCCTTGGGAGCAGATCTGGAGCCATGATCTGGTAGGCTGAAGTTTCTGGGCAGTGTGCTGAATTTGGGATCCTTGGCTCGTCTGTGAATGTGAACCCTTTTAATTGTATTTCCTTTTTCAATGTCGTCGACATACTTCAGGAAATCCAAATCTAAATGAAATCCATATGGAGTTTCCACCGAGTAGGGGAGCTGTTTCCGCTGGCCTCCACTCTCACATGGCTTTGATGACAGGCCGTTTGCTGAAACAAATGAATACTTTCAATTAGGGAAGTCTGCCTTTGAACCGATGCCTTCCATTTTGAATGTCTTGAATCACTTTAGCCCCTTTTTAACTGTAGACTGTAACAACAGACATGCTACTCTAGAGACTATTTTTTAAAGCAGTCATTACCAATAACAGTTACAACAACAATTCTACAACAAGAGTTTGCTGTTTTTATCATTTGCTTTACACCAGACATAAATTACATGGTTATATATATATTTTTAATTCGTTTATTACTGCACCATTTTGGACATTCAGTGATTGCCTTTTATTGACAAGGATATCTGTAACTATTTTTTTATATCAGACCATACAATTTAATAGATTTAACCAAATGTATTGTGAGCTATGAAAAGAAGTCTCTTACCATTTGATTTGTTCATTGTTTGAGATTTGTAGTTTTGCGGACATAACCTGTTGTGTTCAATATTTGCAACCTGAAAATAAAGAAATACAAAAAGGGTATATTCACTGTCCTCCATATACAGTATACTCATTTATTACCAATGAAAGATGAACAAACATCATAAAACAGCTACAGTTATGTATTAGCAAATCTGTCTTGGTTTTAAAAAAGACTATAATACTCTACTGCAATCATTATTGCTTTGCACAGACTAAAATTATATTTGTCATAATTTTATTCTGGAAAACACAAGGGTCACATTTATTCACACCTATAAGTACTCTTTTAAATAAAGTCCAACAAAAACATATCTATAATAATAACATTATTTTTGTTGAAGCACAGATTAAACCAAAGGGCAAAGAGACATAATAATAATAACAAGAAGGGTCCAAAGCCTAAAAAACAGAAATAAACAACACAGGGTACAAGGTACAAAGCTGCTTGCACAGTTATCTGCATGTACGCACTGCCTGCATAGATTCCTGCGTGTGCACGGTGCCTGCATAGATTCCTGCATGTGCATGCTGCCTGCATAGTTTCCTGCGTGTGCACCCTGCCTGTGCAGTTTTCTGTTTGTGCATGTGCATGTTCCCTGCACGTGCACACTGCCTGCCCAGTTTTCTGTGTGTGCACGCTGCCTGCATAGATTCCTGCGTGTGCATGCTGCCTGCACAGTTCCCCGCACGTGCATGCTGCCTGCACAGTTTTCTGTGTGTGCACGCTGCCTGAGCAGTTCCCTGCGTGTGCACGCTGCCTGCATAGTTTCCTGCATGTGCACACTGCCTTGCCTGCGTAGTTCCCTGCGTGTGCACGATGCCTGAGCAGTTCCCTGCGTGTGCACACTGGAGGGTCCTGTATAATGATTAGATTCTATGAAGCTAAAACGGACATTCAAGAGGATCAATCTGGGGTTATTGTTTACCTGTTTGATTTGAAATTCAAATTGAGTCGAATATCCGACTTCATACTATGAAATATGAAAGGGCATATTCAACAAGAAATCCTGCTTTTATACTGCAGAAATCAAAGCTGAAATATAAAACATTAAATGTAATGTTTTTTCTTACAATAAAGCAACCACAGCAATGTAATACAGTATAACACTTCCACAGACTTCCTTTGCTGCTGTTGTGGTGTATAACTGTAGACTTTTGTTAGGAAACTGGGAAATAAATTCTCCTTATAGCAGGGAGTACAATATCCTGTAATTCAGTCTGCCATCCAAGATTTCATTACCTTAGCATGGTAGAAGACAAAAAGAGAACTTTAGGGAAATACTTTGCTAATGCAGCACTGTGAACAGATGTTATTAGTTATGGTGAACTTGGCTGGAGCAGCTGTAGAGTCAAAGCTTTAGTGAATCACATTCATGTTTTGATCTTCCGTTATTGTTTTGAGCTGTGGATTCAGGAACTAAGCTCAAAAAGTGTGGAGCTTTAATACAGGATGAGAGAAGGGTCTTAATCTGAACACAGCTCTGTGGCTACACACTTTCCACTGCCTCAGTGAAACATTTAACTAATTAACTGTCTTTCCTGCAGTCAAAGACTGAGGATTAAACAAATACTTAAAATGTAAGTTTTCAACAGCTGTACTTCATGACCCTAAAGTAGTGGTAGGTTAAAGACCAAAAGATAATGGGCTTTGGTCTACAGATGTATACATATCCTCAATATCCTAGGGCATACTGTACTTATTTTGAGTGTCTGAACTATGTGTGTTCACCTTAAACACAACATCATGCTGGGTTTGTAGAGACTTTCAAAAACCCAAACACATGGGAATGATTTATTTGACTGCCATATAATGTCAAGGAAACATTTTTAAATCTCTTTTTTGTATACTTGTTGTTTCTTTACCTGGGTTTTGTGTTTTCATGAATGTGATTTTCTGAATATATGAAAATGAAGACCTTTGGTCTGGTCTCAGACAAACAGACATAGTCAAGTCTAAGTCTATAGTCTAGCTGCCAAAGGTCATGTTTGTCTCCAGACCCTGAAGGAATTCAGCCACATAAAATCACCGATTCATTCTTTAAGTTCTTCTTATTCTGTGCATGACATACCCAATCTGATAGATGTGCTTTAACACTTCACCACTGTACCACACATGTATTTAAAAAATACTGGATTTCTGTATCTTCAAAGCTTCAGTTATACAGTTTCATTCTTCAGCTTCTTGCCAGCAGTTCACAAAGCCTTTTGCTTACTCTGATACTTTATATAGCTATCAAGATGTGATAAACATAGTATGCTTGAATATGCTTCTTTATGACATCTGTTTACAAAAGCAGTGGTGGAATTTCACCTCAATTCTTCTGGTATGACTTGTGAGAACAAAGAATCTGACCAAACTTATTCTATTTAAGTGAATAAGCATCTCAGCATGTAAACCATGAGTTGAAAATGTATTCTATGCATTCACCACACTTTGTATAGGGCCTACATGTGGCTTTGTAGGACTTTTCAAGGTAAATATCCTGAAAGTCTTTTCATGTTCTAATAATGGACCTTGAAATGCACAAACATGCTTTTGATGAGGTTTAGGATAGAGCAATTTGCAGAGGGAAATCGTCCCCAAAAGCTAGGAAAATCTAAAATACTAAAAAATGCAATTTTTTTAGACATAGTCAGCCTTTTAAAAGACTAATAAGGTTGTGGGAGTCAGAAGGAAACAACTCAACAAGCCATCTTGTTGAAGCTGATACTGTAGTTTCCTTTGAGGAATGGCTGGATGAGATCCCAGGTTCAATTAGCAAACCATACAAGCTAGATGGGTCAAAAGGCTTTCACTCCACACATTTGTATCTTTTCTTATGAACGTATGTGACAGAAGAGAAGATTAACTAGAATGCTAGTGTGTGGGTGGAATTCCTTGAGAAGACTCAATTGCATACCCAAAGATTTTGATTAGTGTTGAGAATTAATACCTATTCATCTCTCTAAAAAACAATGACAATAAACAGTCCAGTAAGACTTCAGACTCATAATTTCTGACAAATATGCAGGGCAGGTGTAATGCGATTTTGTCTTGGTGCATTTTTAGATTAATTATAGAGAACAGGAAATAGATTTGTTTAAACGGTAAATTTCAGGCTATGCTGAATATAGCACTGATATCGGGAATAGAATTTTTGGAAACTCCCAAACTAAACTTGGAAGAGTAGCAAAACTCGGTTTACAAAAACAAAAAACAAAACCAAACAAAACAGGAAACCATCTGCATGGTTTCCCACTCTGGACAGCTGCCGAAAGAGAAGTTATAACTGCCGTCTCCCTACCATCCCCTGACAAAAAAGTAACATAATAACAGAAACACCACACTTCTTACCTTTTCTGCAAGTTTGGGTTTCATTAAATGACCACAGAAAAATCCTTGCATTGTACCCAGTCAGCTTGCCCAGAACACAAATATAGACTTGCTTGAAGGGGCATAGTGTAACAAATACACTGACAATGGAGACAGTTAGGTCTCAAAAGACAACATGGCAATAATGTTCAATATTGAAGCCTCCTTTCACCACTCCAACAATGGTGAAGAGCAAGCTTTTCAGAAATCTCAGTCTTTAGTCCTCCTGATTTTCTACTGATAAAGTGAAAAGACTGGCTTTTCATACAGTGGGTAAAAACAAATCTGCTGTGTAAATAATCAGAAACATTCTGTAGATCTGTAACTGTGAAACATTCTTTTAATCGTGTTTATTTTTTCATTCATATCAGGGGTTTCTCCAGCAAGCTTCAACATATACAGTATCTCATATCCTTAAGAGAATATCAGCAACAAGTGCCTGTTCCGTGTGGAATTTTGGCAACTAGTGCACTTCTTTTGCAGTGCTGATACTATGAGACAATTCCATCTTTTCCAAATCACTGTCGAGGGACAGTGATCGCAGTAGGTCCTTGTCTTAACTTCCTGGAGGTCAAAAGGACCAATAGAGCAAAACACCCCCATGAGTAAGGAACAATATGCTGAAAAACAGCCAAGCCATTCTTTTCTATCTTTTGGAAAAATAAGATTCTAAAACAATAGGACCTTTCCACAATTTATCATATTTAGTTCATAGTTTGTTTGTCCAAGCATCCACTTTGAAAGGATAATGTGACTCACAGAAAGCTCTCAGCAAAAAAATCTACTGTTTCAGAAGACAATGTACTGTACATTAAGCGTGTATTCTGTCCTACAATTACCATGATACTGTTGCTAACACTGAGATGGTGAGAAGCAATAGTTCCATTCTTGTGTATATATGTTTTCTCTTGAAAGTGACAGTAGTAAATTAATTCAAAGGAACACAGTCTTCATAATCTTTCTTTCATGTCTTGATTAACATATTATGGTTCACTGTGGTGAACTTGTAAGTCTGTGGCAGTTATAAACAGATAGCTTTCTTTCCAATTAGTCTTCGGTGACATTTATTAGACACTACTTCACTATTTATCATTTCAGACAATATGCAAAGAATTATCGCAAAATGGTAATGTAATAGTAGTGTAGACAATGGACAGCTCATGTTTCATTACACCGAACACAGGACAGAGACATCTATACCAGTAACACATACATCTATACTGGTTTCTATATAGGGGACGCTAGACAAAATGAATTGGTACTTTATTATTTGACACATAAAAAAACACTGCAAGAACCTAAGCTATATTCAATGTTAGAAGGGAAAAAGCATAAAATAGTGCATGTTTTGCCTTGATCGGTGCAACAGGGAGATGCACTCTGGAGGACAATTACAAGGTTGTTTTTAATGATCAGGTTACTCCTCATTCTACCTGAAGCTTGTAGCATCCAGAGAGCACAAAACACAGCCCCCAATTATGTGGTTTTTAGATTGTGTCCCCATAGCACACTGCACAGTCTATGATCTCCGTTCACTGAATGTATTGAACCACACGACTGCCAGTTTTCTACTGTGCATTCATCAAAACTGCAACCTTCGCAACACACACGGAAACAAACTGCACTCTGAAACCTTTGGGTTTAAAATTAAAAAAACTGGCTATACATTTTAATGTAACAGCACAAACAAAAACAAAAAAGACGAAACACAGCTCCTACAGCAAAAGAGAGATCCGCTGCATAATCATCTCTTTGCTTTGCAGAATGCCTGTCACTTTCTCCTGCATTGCAGTAGCAGGACTAGCTGATTATTGCTATCAGCCCTGTTCATCTGAACAAAAGCTGAAATCCCTGATCTCGGCTGCATTTCAAATTCATCTGTAAAAACCATTGCTCTTACCTACATGTTCCAGCAGCTCTGGAGAACCTCTTCTTGTAAGCACATTTTCCCTTTCCTTTCCTGAACTTGAAGAGAACAAAATTGTTGCTAGTGCAGCACTGTGACTGTGTTCCAGCTGTTCAATGTATTGGTCAGGTGACTGGTGACCTTGCCTAACTAAAGCAGGCAAGTGGCCCAGAGAATGAGGACTCTTAGAAGTTTTCCACAGAGCTCAGAAATTCCACATAAATCAGCCTTACTTCTTCTGTCTAAAACAGGCAGCAGACCTATTGTTGTGGAACAGAGTGCAATAATTCGATCACTACAGGATCTCTTCTGTCTGTGTTAAACAATTCCCCCTAGAATATATTTGAACCACTACTGAACTCCCTATACTCTCATCAGTATAATCTTCGCAGTTTAAAACAGTCAATTATTAACAGTACCTAAATAGTTCCCCTTCGGGAATCTTTTTTTTTCTCCTGAATGCAAATTCCTAATGTTTCATTTACTTTTTCCCATGCTTTCAGTGCTCTCAGAATGAATAAAAACATATGCTGACATTGTTCAGTATACAGGAAAAAGAGGAAATTTAATAGACGATCATATTGGTATATCAAATTACATGCATTCTATTGACTTCCATATTTGTACAGTGGATTTTAATTACACTATTTTAAAAAAGGAAAAATATTACAGTAAAGAGCTTCTAAAAATCAAAATGACTAGTACATGTAGAAACTAGAAAGGTTACCAATCAAGATTTGAGTTTATTTTTACATTATAACTAGATTTCTCATTTTCTAGAAGCATAATAAAAACCTACCTTTTAGGGTTTTTGTACAAGCTGACTCTGGCACTCATTAATTGCATTTTTGTTTTTGCTGGAGGGCAAATACCTTATCCATTTAAAATGGTAAATTTAAAATAATTGTCTTCTTCTATATTGAAGTTTTAATTTTAAAACTATCATGGCCTAAAACTATCCATTTATTTAGTGCCATCAGGAGAGAGACACATTGTCACTGTTTTATTCTGATATGCTTGATTACATTTATGAAGGAGAGATATAATTATGAAATCTAACACTTGCAGTTTTCTCATTATTTTGAACTGCATGACTCTTAGTCTGGTGGCAGTATAGTAAGTTTAGCATTTGGAGAACAGATTGTAAACTGTCAACTGTCTCAGATACTTTGTATGGTTAAGAGATATTTTAAAAAGTCATTGAAGAAAAACACTTAAAACATATGTTTTATTACAGCACTGTCTGAGAATCACAATTTAAACATTGAGGAGCAAGTCTATTTTCAAGCTGATAAGTAAGTCTGACAACTGTTTCTTTCTCTTCAATTTCCCATGTCGACTCAAGTTAAAGGCAGGGGCTCCACTAAGCAAAATTCAAGTTGTCTCCTCATTCCTAGAAAATATGAGGACCACCTGCATGTTTGATTGGTTGTATTCACACTACTGAGATCTTTTTTTCGTTAGATTTACCAGTCCTGCTTGTTTTCATAAACCCCAAATTCCTTGGGCTCATATCATCACCAAAGTTCCAAACAAAATCCCAGGCAATGTATTTAAAATCTGTAAATAATTTGCTAATTTGACCTTCACTGGATATAGGCCCCCTGCAGAGGTTTCTTCTGTGTGGGTGGGTTTTACATTTCTGTTTGCTGCCACTGTTGCTGTTTTTAATAAAAACCCTAAATAGACAGGATCTTTACTAATCAAGAGAGGTACTGGCAAAAATGAAGTTTTCCCTGAAAAAGGCCTCTTTACAAGGCAACTGGCATTCATTTCCTTTTTTTTTCCTTCTGGTAGATAACATAAGCTTCACTTGGACCTACTGAACAATAGGAAAATGTCTCTTTATGTGTTGCTGTGGGAGGAAGGGTTAAACAAATCCATCAAACTATTGTTCTCCAAATAAGGGCAAACTCACAGAACACATTACTTTTTAAAAATATTTGCAAGAACCATATTCATAGATGTACAGACTTTTAAGTTAGTTCTATTGTGAACAATTTCCAAAGACGCTGAGCTTGTGATCTAAACAAAAAATAATTATTTCAGTATCTCACAGTGGTGTGAGATATGGATACTCATTTTACCTTAAACCCAAAATGGAAAATGCAGTGGATAAAACTGAATAAAAATGAATTTTTAAATACCAGTTTTATTAGTCTTGGTGTTCTGTGAATACGTAGATATATGGAGATACCTTATACCAATTTCCTTTACAGGTGTATACATTTTTATCAAGAAATTGAACCAATCATTTTCATTCAGGCAAACTGCATTCACATGAAACATACAGTATGCAGTTCATAGACTAAATGTGCACATACATTTCAAAAACATAGAATGGGGGAATGTAACTTTTAAATAGCTTTAAACAGTTTTGTCTTTTGTTGCAAAAAAAAAGGATGTTACTTCATAACTATGTTTTGATTTATTTGAAAATGCATCAAAATGATCTTCCTTTAAGCATATTCTTTTTACCATATCGTTTCATGAGCTCCTATCAAAAGTTGAAAGTCACAAACTGATGCAAGGTTGTTCTTTTCCAGAATGCATAATTCTCTTGTTTATCTTGAAATTATGACATACGGAATGTAGTTCTGCTATCATAAAGTCTTGAATGGAATTTAGATTAATGGAATCTGTTAGATGTTAAAACATTTGTAATTAGTTTAAAAGAACTCGTAATCTGGAATTTAAAAGATAAAAGATTTCATTTCTGGAGGAATGAAGAGACACAGTTAAGTCCACAGTAATGACTGACATGCCAAGAGTAATAGGCTAGTACTGATTGCCTCACAATTACATTTTGGATTATCTGCATATAAACCACTCTGACTACTTTTCATTAGAACATTTAGTGCTACTAAATGTTGCACTTCCCTCCACTCGAAGGACTTTACAGGTAATGGGAACTAACTTCCACCACCACCAATGTGTAGCCCCACCTGGATGGTGTGACAATAGCTAAAGTGCACTAGGACAGTCATCACACATCAGCTAGCAGTGGAGAGGAGAACAGAGTAATAATCCCAATTGACAGATTAGAATTATTATTCTATTATTAGAATTATTAGTGGATTATTAGAAGGCCATGACTTGTAAATTCTAGAGCGGATATTTGGCCAGGACACTGTGGTTACACCCCTACTCTTTTCAAAAAGCACCCCAAGATTTGTAATGACCACAGATAGTCAGGACCTTGGTTTTATGTCTCTCCCAAAGGAAGGCGCCTTTCTATTTACAGTGCATGGTTCCCATCACTATAATGGGGTATTGGGGGTATAAAGACCCCCACAGACTGCTAATTGCACACTGTGAATAAATGTGCACTGTACTTTAAGTATATTTTGACTGAACTCACATATTGCATTACACTGTGCACTGTTACGTATAAAGATGTTTAATTGGCCTAATTATGATCTCAACCAAGAACTATATTGTTCCATTGTGTACCAAATGCAAACACTTCAAACTTAAGACAGATGACAGCATTTATTATGACTACTTGTTCATTCTAACAAACATTTTGTGTCTGTCCTATAACTTCTCAAGAAGAGTTTTATCAGATTTATTTTAATTATGTCAGGCAGCCGTGAAGCAGCTGTATGAGATCAGCATGAGGCACATGTTCACTTATCAGCTGCAAATATAACATTGCTAATCCCATTGTGTCCTATTGTGTCGCTCACCTCCACTATCTCTTCAGCAAAGTTATAATTCAGACTCAAATCCCAGCTGCCAACAAAATTAATCATGTCAAACAAATTGCCCAGATATCCTAGCTAAAAAAACGAGAAATCTTTTTAATTTTTCACGGTGAATAAAAATTGGCCAGAAATTCAGTTTATTAGGAGTATAAGGAGTGGAGGCAATTTTCAGATGCCTAAAAATGAAGCAAACAGATCAAACGTTGTGTTTAAGCATTGATACGTGTGGTAGACTTCTACATTTAAACTGAACAAAGTAAGGCATATAAAGCTGGCATACGCTGGAAACGTACTTGTGGATCACAGCTTATTAAGAATAACAAATGCCTTTATTTGTTAAGACAGGCTGTAGTTTGATTGCAGAACTTTCCCTTCCTTTGTGGTAATATGAAAAAAACTTCTGGAGGTTAGAGAGCAAATTGCCTTCACTATCAATAATAAACAGGCTGACTGCCAAAGACTCTTGTTGTTCTAACTAATGGGTAGCAGCATGCCCGGGTTTTATCTCTAGATACATGGCTGTTGATGATGACCTTGGCCTTTGTTAATGTTGTAGAGGTACAGTACAGTATATGTAGGGGGAAATTCAAGCTATCTTTCATAGTTGTGCTCAGCTATTTGATCAGAACAACAGGTTAGATTCTCAAAGTCATGTTCATGAACATTTTCCCCATGAATCACACTTTAAGCCAAAGGTAAAATAATTAAAAATACTCCTTTAGAAGAAGGAAGAAAGTCTTGTGTGTCATTCATTCGCAGACTATTTGTCCAGTTTGGGAGTGTTTTAACATGGGGCTATATACAGTAATAAGTGCACTTCAGTAGGTAAACTGTAACAAGATTATATTTCAAAAATTATTAAATATACTGTAGTAATAATGGTCACCACCTCTGGCATTGGGGCATTGAGGCATTGGCTAGGATATCACTTGGATTTGGTTTGGATAGTTGTAAGAACACCTTTTTATAGGAAGGATAGCTACTGGAGAATATCTACTTAATTACTGTATGTGAAAAAAGTCTAGCTTACCTATATTAGATATTTCTAACATACTGTAGGTAACACATCATTCTTCCATGGAAACGAAAAATTAGTTACAAATTGTTAGTACTTTGACAAATATTAAGTTAATTTTTAACTAGAAAAAAAGTTGTTGTTTTTTTAACTTGGATAAAACACCTCCATGATTTCCCATCTGGACTAATTGTGGCCAAACTGCCCATCTGATTCCTGTACTATAGTTTGGCAGTTTGCCTCCAAGGGAAGATTAAGATTTTACTGTTTAATGTTATTAAGATCATAGCCCTTTATATAACTATATATAATGAACCTTAACAATACTCTTTTAGCACTGAAAATATTTACAGCTGCACTCTGGTGGTGTACCTGTATCTGCATTGCAGTTAGTGCAATTCTGGATACCTCATACTGTGTACCTTGTGAGCCTCAGCAGATTTCAGTCAACAACTCCAAGGGCATTTTTTTAAAGCTAATTGCTTTAGAAATATGGTATCAGAAGCAAAGGAAAAGGGGACCGCACTAAAATTAAGAAACAATGAAGCAAAGTCGGAAAACCCTTGAATAATTTAAAAGCCTTTGTAAGCACTCTTGAGATGCATCTGTCTCCCATATTGAAAGGAATTTAGTCCC